AACAATATTGAGCAACACTGGTAACCATTGAATTGGTGTAGTTTTCAGGGCTCCAGTGATAGCATGCCCAGCAGCTCCCAGCCCCCTGGAACTGAGCCTGGTGGGGGGAAGTGGAGCGCAGCGCCAGGGCTGTGCTCTGCCTCCCTCCACCGGGCTCAGCTCCCAGCACCGCGGAGCTACCTCAGACTTCTCAACCATTTCTAGCAATTTCCTACTGAAGAGGGACTGACTTCCTAGCACAGTGCTCTTACCACCTTCATTTGAAGTTGATGAACACTTGTACACGGCTGAATAGTCATGCACAGAGACACACTCCCTTCTGAAAGCAAAACTGTTTCCCTTGTATCTCATGGACATACAAACAGCAAGAGGTAATACAAGAAGCAAAATTTAGACCTTGTAGGTTGCCATCCTTTCAATGAAAATCTAAGGGAAAATCAAGTGACATTTTGTCGCACAATCAGCCCCCTGAAATGATCCCCCCCCGGATGGTAGTTCCTGGGGCTTATGCTCCGGTAGCCCTCCCTCAGTACTGCTACTGGCTGGAAGAAAGGTTCCTGTTCGGTTTAGAGCTCAGGAAGGTGTTACCTGCCCTGGGCCCTGACTGTGCTGTGGAAAAAAAAGTAAAACTGAGATTTCTGAGTTCCTAGAAGAAATCAAACATCTGCCTGCTGGAGCTTATCCTGTGCTGCTGAGCAAGAGCCCATTTACATAGCCACGGAAAGGTGAACACTGCATGGGTCCAGGTATGGGATCTGATCTGATTCCCAGCTGGATGTCTGGTAACATAGGGACTGCAAGATGAAATCAGCAAATATTTTGTTTTCCATAGGACCAAAAAAAATTGAATTGGTTTCTTCAGACTATGTGCACGTGAAATGGAAGAAAGCTCAGCTCTGATATGGCACTTCTTTCTCACGGCTCCAACTATTTTACAAGGGAGATACTAGTCCTTGTCCAACGACTAAGAAACCCCATTCACAGAGAAATGACTGGGTAAGCTTAGGATCATACTGCAAGGTAGTAGAGGAGGAGAGACCACCCTGCATCCTCTCTAGACGCATCTCTTTCTTTTCCACTTGTGAGAGCTATGGCTGTGGTTGCTTGGTCCAGGAAAGGACACAAACCATACCCCTTTGCCTAGGCACCTCATTCTTACAGGAGTTTTTTTTCGGCAGTTTGGGTTAAAAACCTTGGGCTGATAAACAAAACCTCAGAAAAGCCAGTACTTGCCTACTGGCTTGCAGAGCATGAGTTAGAGACGGGTTGCTGTCCTTTAAATAACTATCATCAAAATTAGAAGGCTATAATATTCTTAAACTATTGAGGCACTTCTCAATGCAACATGGGATCTTGGCCCTTCTCTGTCCTGGGTGTTTGCTTGACCTAATCAGACTGCTACTGGCTGATGTTCTTCCACGTGCAGGGAATCACAAACGCACATTTTGCCACATGGTGTAGCTACCCAACCTTCTTACTTCACCGATAGACACACAAGAAGGAAACCCAATACAGTAGGCTGAGGCCATGATTCAGCTCTCCAGCAGCTGGGTCAGTCCGCTGGTAATGTATTTTGCAGCCATCAGCAGCACTGCCTTTGATCCTTATGTGCAAAGGTGACTTTTCTGGGCTTGAGCTGAGTATTTGCTGCAGAGAAGTGCGTGTATGTGAATTAGCATTTGTTCAGCGAGTGCCTTCATATCGACTTATGTCTGTATGTGGTAGTGCTCATATTCAGAACTTTATTCAGGCAAAATATTTTTATCTGAAAAATGCAGATTCCATTTGATTGAAACGTTTCATATTTGTGTCAATATCAATATATTGTTTTGGTAGGGAAAAAAAACTAAAATGAAAAAGTGAAAATTGAAGAATTTAGATTTTAGAAACAAAACAGTTTTTTCTACTTAAATGTTTCCTTTTGAAATGTACTTCTATGTTATTTAATTTACTTCACTGTTATTTAAAAAAGCTTAAAAAACTGAAAACAAAATACCATGTTGTTTGAGTTAAAATATTTCGCACAAAACATTTTGTTCAATCTGAAATGAATATATTTCGCATTAGTGTGCCAAAAATTAAAAAATCGTTTCATGGTGACTTCAAATATATTTTTTTCTAGACTTGCCAGAAAACTGAAAAATCAGCTGTTTTCGCTTTTATATTCTGATCTACAAGTTCATTGCTCATCTGAATTTAAAAACAGAAGAAATCATTCTATTTTATTTTTAATTCACATCATTAATCTTCTATATGAGGTTTGCTATTCAGCACCCCAACAAAGCTCTGTTGTGACTACAGGAGGCTAGAGATCAGAGAATATAGATCTGTACTGACATCCTCATCATCACTGATTAGGAGTCACAGTAGGAAGGTGTGCTTGACAGAAATATTGCTAGACAGACAGAGAGATTCATTACCAGACCATCAGACATTGCTTAACAGACAGACAAGGCTCTTCCATTCCTGTTTATCATGCTGCGTTCTGCATTGTATACCATTTTTGTCTGTCTAATGTAACTTTTTTTATGAAGCTAGGTGGTTGAGCTATCAATGAACCCTGACCCAGAGAACCACTGGAAGCTTTTCATTTGATCAGTACCCTTTGACCTGTCCATCCTGGGTGGTCTTATCACATGCTAACATCTCACTCCCCCTTCCTCCCCTTTCATTACCACTGGCATAGCTCCCACTGACCTTCCACCCATGTCATGGTATGCTCCCCACAGAAGTGTGTTTTCCCTGGCTACTTGGACGTAGTTGTTGTTCAGTTCAGGTCTCTCACATTCATGAATCAGTGCAAATGTCATTCTTTGCGTGTGTCAAAACATAAAAAAATATTTAAATTACAACCACTTTGGAGAGAGTCCTGTTTCAGCTGGTAGATGATCAAAGTACAGCTTGCAACTGCCTCTGAAGTGTAGGAGTGATTCTGTTACACTCTCTGGGTGCATAAATGGAATAGGAGCACCCTCTGGAGACACACAGATGTCTTCCTATTCCTATAATGGGGGCACTTATGTGTCCAGAAGGGGTAATAGAACTCAAGGGGAAGTCAGCGTTGATCATTCATTAGGTGAAATAAAATTCTATCCTTTTTGTCCCATGGCCTGAAAATTGCAAACCAATAAAGGATATGATATCCATTGCTTATGCGAAGCCTGGAGAAATCACTGATCTCCTCATCTTCATTACTAGGGAGAATTGTTTGGACTGAGCAGCTCCCTGTCAGGTTTCTTTAGTCTTCAATATGAGTAGAGCCAATTTCTAGAGTAACTGAAGCTGACAGGGATTACATCACATTTCCCAAATACTCTGGGCCCTGCCTATTGGCATGTTTCCAAAGTAAATCCAACACTTGCCATCTCCTTGTCTCCTTTGGTGCTGAGGACTCTGCATTCAGCTATGTGTGTATCTATGTGTCACCAGGGATCCAGATTTTCTATTTTCCATGGAAAATTGCAGTTTCCCCTTTAAAGGAGAAAAATACGGGAAACTATGGCTTTAGCTTTGCAGGCTGGCAAAGTTTCAGCCTGCAAGGGGTCTGCTTGGGGCTGGGGGGAGCGGGAAGAGGCCGATCAGATGCAGAGGGTGTCATGTGGCTGTGTGGACATGCACACATGCATGTGGCCAGCAGTACACCTAGGCAGTGTGGTGGAGAGCAGCTCCCCCAGCTGCCTGCAGGTAAGTTGTGGGGGGTGGTAGGCATAGACAACATGTGGTGGGGCACAGGGCCAGATTGAGGTGGTGGCACCAGTAGCTCGTGCCAAGCCCCCACAGTGAGGGAGGAAGTGGGGCAGGATTGGTGGCTGGGGCTTGGGGTGCAGCCCAACTGGGGAAATGCATGGTGCCCAGGGCCCGGGGTTAGGGTGGGAATATGTAGCCGTGGGGCCTGGCCAGGGAGTGGGACAGAGCCATGGACTGCTCATTCAGGGTGGGGGCTGGTGGGGGGACTGGCTCCACACCACTGCATGTGCATCAGGGGAGGGGTCAGGCGCCACAGGTGGTGTGTCAGGGGTCATAGGGGGGCAAGTGGTCCCCCCAGTTTTATGAATTCACAGTGGGACACAGGACTGCAGCCCGGCTAGACTAGTATGGGCAGAAGCCACCTCTGAGTCTTGCTGCCCTTCTCCACTTGCCCGCCAGGTCCCACTTGCTGGGCTGCGGAGGCAGCTCCTGTCCATGCCAGTCCAGCAAGGCTGCAGCCTTGTGTCCTGCTGTGGAAGCAGAAATCTTGGGGGAAGGGGACATGCCCCTGCATCCCTCCCTGCCACTTTGCCTATGCCGTCACCTATGGTTGGGCACCACCCATTGCCCCACGCTCTGGGGGACTTGGGCCTGGGGGCGGGGGGCAGCAGGTCAGGAGTGAGGGGCCCTGGCAAGGCCAGGGGACTATGAGTTTGGAGTAAGGGACACTGGAAGGGCCAGGGGGTTGTGGGTCAGGAGTGAAGTAACAGCAATGGCAGGGGCAGGGCATTGGCATATCAGGTCTGCTCAGCACCACAAAGCAGTGAAGGGGACAGCTGCAGCTGGACCTGTGTCCTGGTGAGTGAAGAGGGCAGGGGGAGTTCTGATTTTCCATGGTAAAAAAATAAATCAAATGCCATACTACATAGGCATTTGGAATTTATTTTATTCTAATGATTGAAGCACTGGTAGGCTTCCAAATTGCTTTAAAATTGTAAATATATCAATAAAACATTGTGCTCAAATGATACCTATATATAGTGCCATTTCATTTTAATTGCAGCAAAACTTGGATTTAGGAGTTTTAATCAGAGAATTTGGGGTTTTGTCAGAGAAGCTTGGATTTTTAAACTGAGAAAACCAGGATCCCTGATTATAAGTATAAATCCAGATCAAGTCACTGGTATTTATTTGGAATGTATTGTATAGAATATCCTTGGTAAATGTATTATAGAGTTGGCAGTGCTTTATTTGACATACAGTACATTAACTGCCTTATAAAATATACATTATATGCATATTTTCTTTTTCAGTGTCTGGCTGTAGGTCTGTAAGCTACCCTCTGGGATTCAACTGGGATTCAACTACCTTCTGCAGCTGGGAAATGACAGGCATCTTCATTTCTCTAGTATTTCAATTAGCACATTTGTGGCCTAATTTTTTTTATTTTCTGATCTAAATTGTTATGGGTGTGCATGTGCATGCTTGTGTGTCTGTGCGTGTGTGTAATGTTATTTGCCCATGGATTAGAAATTTGTCTTATTTACTAATTTTCCAGAGATAATTTAATTTCCTCCATAGACATGTGTGCACAAGCACACTCTCTCTCTCTCTTTGACACACACACACACATTCACGCATGAGAGAAAACTCTTTCATTCCAAAGCTTGCGAGTGAGAGTCTGATCACAGTTACATCAGAGTTAATTCAGAAGTCAGTGGAGTTGCTCTGGATGGAGTGTGGTGCACATGAGTTCATAATTCCTCTGGGTGCGTCTACGTGAGATGTTACTGCACAGTCATTGCTGTTCATTTATTTAGTACGTGTATTAGCAAGCACTAAATAAATGCACAGTAACTGCAGTTACTGCGCACTAGCAGTAGTCATCTTTTAGGTGACACTAATGAGCAGTAGCCTAATAATACTGCACAGTAGCATATTAACTTGTCTGTACTGTAATGTGCTACTGTGCACTATTTTTCAGCTACTGCCATGCATTCAATTGTGCCGTGCAAGCCAGGCACAAAGATGTTCTACGTGTGTTTTTAATTTTATGGTACCATAAATTGCCTGAGCATGTGGTATGTTGCTATTTATTGTGTGATTACAAATGTTAATTATGCCATAAATGTAATATCTGCCAGGGGCCTAGGGAAAAACAACTGGATTAGTTTATGAAAACAGATGATTGATGCAGTTAGAGCTGTAGCGATAACTGACGGGTTATAATCAGACAAGGTAGCACAGAGGGATGCTGAAGAGATTATAAGGTAGGTAAGAAACACTGTAGTATACTGTTTTTTTCACAGCATCTGATGAAATTAGCTCAATTTCATGAAAGCTTCTGGTCCATAACTATCTTATTTAGTCTATAAAGGTGGATATCTATCCTGCCTATAGACAAGAAGAACAGGTTCCTCCCAAAAATACTGTCAGGACCCCTGGGATTTGAATCCAGATCTTTCACACCCACCCGCAGAAGAAGAAGGGGAGGAAGGAGGATCTGGATAACTATAGACCAGTTTGCCTCACCTCTATCCTTGGAAAAACCTTTGAAAAAATTATTAAGGATCACATTTGTGGGAGTCCAGCAGGAACAATAATGCTGAAGGGCAACCAACACAGGTTCATAGCAGGTAGATCCTGGCTGTCTAACCTTGTTTCTTTTTATGACCAGGTCACAAAATGCTTAGATGTAGGGGACAAGGTAGATGTCATCTACCTGGATTTTAAGAAAGCCTTTGATACAGTATCTCATCCTATTCTCATAAATAAACTGAGCGGCTATGACGTAGATGATTACATGGTCGGCTGGGTGGCAAATTGGCTATCAGGATGCACCCAGAGAGTGGTGGTGGATGGGTCAGCACTGACCTAGAAAGATGTGTGCAGTGGAGTTCCCAAAGATTTGTTCATTGGACTGGTGCTATTCAATGTCTTCATCAGTGACTTGGATGAGGGCAGGAGGACCTTCCAGAGGGATGGATTTAGATTGGCCAACATAGTGATGTCTGAATCACCTGTGCATTCAAACTGGAAGATCAAAAACAAACATGATCAAATGGGGCTACTCTAATGACATGATATGTGCAAGTGCAGTGAAGTGCAGACTATGGAGTACCTGCTCATTTGACAACTCCTTGGTGAGACCTGTATGAAGCAAGACCTTGCTGCAGCAATGGTAAGAGCCATTGCTTGTGCACAATTCTGAAAAAAATGTAGTTTATGACAAGGACATGAGAAGAAGAACCTGGGACTTCCCAGGAGGATCCCAAATGCAGCACCAGGTGACCTGAATGCATCAGTAGGAGCCACAAGCCCCAGGTGGGAGGGCTGTATAGTCTAGAGGAGGACACTGGTACATGGGCAGCTCAGTGTCTTCATATACACTGCCCTGGCTTTTGTGCCCTGGAGAGGTCACTTCAGTTTCACTTTATATTTCAAGTGAGGATTACGTTCAGTGAGCTGATGTCTCACTTAGCGTAATTCTATTGTTTCATGAGACAGACGGATGCCTGTTTGTTAAAGTGACACTATTGTTGGATGCTGCTGCCTTGGAACCTCCTGCTTGACTCTGTGGTAGCCTCAGCCTACCAGGCCTTCTGGGAGGAAGGGAAGCATGGGCAAGTATGCCTGATAAGAGCCAGCAGATGTGATGGTAGAAGACCATCTTTCAAACCCAAGCCTGCATTTCCCTTTAGGGGAGGGGTAGTGGCTTTCGATGGATTGATCACAGCAGATGGATCTGAAGAGTTCTGGTGAGAGTGACTATGGCGACAGCACTTTGGACACGGTCAGCCAAACTGGAGATGATTTGACTTGACTTCAGCAGGATTATGCTACAAAAGACTGTAAATGTACAGGCTTCTGATTTAAATTATTTCATTCAGTTAATGAGTGGCCTGGACTGGGAATCAGTGTCTGGGGGGTTGTGAGGGCCTCTGTGGTCTCTTTTTTGACTTTGGGCTCCCTGAAATGAATCAAGAGTGAGTAATAATGTTTTTTTGGTCATGATCGAGGAACAGGATGTGAAATTCTGCTTGGAGACTTTGAGATAGCGTGTACTATAGGAAAGGTATATAACCTCAGTGGGGCTTGGACTGTGGCCTGGAAGGGCTGTGCCCTCCCGTGGGTGGAACTGTGAAGCCATGTGGCAAAGGAGTACAGTGAGCCCTAGCAGCATAACTTGTTGGGGGAGGAGGGACATATATTTTGTATGTGTGCCAAGTCCTTTGTGAATGCAACTGGGGGTGGTGAAGAACCTACAGGAAAAAGTTGGCAGGGAAAGAACGAGGAGAGTCCACAAGGGACCATACTCATGGTAGAAGAGGTGGTAGGGGAAACCTTGCAGAAGGGCCTAGACCCACAGCAGGTTTACATTGAGGAGGCTGCAGGGATGGCTGACTTGTTGGAGGAGGAGAAGAAGGAAAGGACTTGGGATCCAGAGGAGGAACCAGAGGGCTCTTCTAGAAATGGGCAGGGTGGGGGGGGAAGATGAAGATGGAAACTGGACTTAAAACAGTGGCTGTATGAAGAGAAAGAGGACTAGCCAGTCCAAGAAAAGAGGTGACAATGCAGGTCAGAGGGAAAAGGAGGTTGGCAATGTATGTCATCTCATGGGATGCTCCCTAGTTCTCTCTCTCGTGCCTGAAGAGCCCTGAGCCCTCAGACCAGGGATTTTAGTCAGAGAGGTCCCTGGAAGAAAGCCTGTAGAAGTTTATGAGATTTACACAAATGAATGAGGGAGAAGAAGGGGCAAACTGGGCACTCAGAATCCAGTGATTAGCCCCATGGACAATTTATAAAGTTGGCATAGGGGTTTTTTTATTTTATTTTTGGTCAATGGTAATTACAGTAGCCTCTATTTTTTAAAAAAATGGTGTTGCAAAATCACTGGGCCCATAGCCTGTCCATCCTGTCAGGCTGCAATGAAAATAGAGCCATTGCACTGCCTCATGGACTTAGAAGTCCTCCTGTTACTTCACTAGGGGATTTCAGTTCCACCCTAGAGGAAGAAACAGGGTTCAGAAGAGGGAATTACACCCTGAACAAGTTAGCTAAGATCCTTGGCCGGATCATAAAGGAGCAGAGGCTTCAGGGCACCCAAAAAAGCAGCCCAGAGTCATAGATGTCTGGGTTGTTAGAACAACTTGAATTCTTGCTGTCTTTTTGACCCTTCAGCTCTCGTTTGAAGGTAATTTAAACAGCTCTAGATTGACCAATCTGTCTCTGTGCCTGTTGTGGAGCTGTTTGAGGATGTTGATGTATCTTTTGACGTCTTTGTGACTGTACTGAGCTACTTGTGTAACATTTTGATTAAGTAGCTAAGTTGTTGGGGGGTTTTTTTGTATTCTTATTGTTTCGGTTTTTTAAAAAAGTGATTCTATTGCAGTTAAAAGGGGTTTTTTTGAGGGGGGGAGTTTATGATTTCACATGGCTAACAGTTGCCACGTGCCATACAGCATGTCTGGTATCTTTGATCCATTATAATCATTTCCTTATGCTAGCAACTGCTCTCATGTGCTAGCAGCTGTTCTCATGTTGGGAAGTGGAGTAATTCTAGCAACCAGTCACAGGTTATTCAAATCCTGTAATGCAATGGCAGTATACATTCAACACACAGGGCATGTCTACATGTGCGTATTAATGTGTTAATGCTTATTAATGCCTATTACAAGTATTGTCCTGCTGTGGAGTAAATTAGTTACTCCAGCCTAATAGGGGAGCACATGTAGACACCGTGAGGTTTACTGTGCAGCTAATTAGTCAACTGTGCAGCTAATTAGTCATATTGTGTAGATGTGCCCACTGTCTAATGTCTTGAATGAGCTGATCTTTTCCATAGTAAGCATTAGTATTTAGTGACTGAATAGAAAGGGCAATTATGTTGGTACTTAATGTTGCTAGGTTGGCTCCCCAGTTTAAAGTAGCAGAGAAGACCAGTATTGTTTTTTTTCATGGTCCACTGAGCTCTTCTTGATGGTGCTTTCTTTCACTACAAAGGAAACTAGCAAAACAGATATGTTATTTTCAAATCTAAGTGGTTTATTCAGAAAGAAATTGAAGGAACTAAAACTGAAGCACTTGGGTGAAATATGCCAACCACAATTCGGCCTTAGAAAATGACTCTGTTAACAAAAAGTCTAGATCACAAAATCACAGAAAACAAGATGTAGAGGTCAATAGTCACAAGCCTAAATAAAGCTTTCACTGACATACTTCAAGAAGAGGAATTAGAATTACACTTGAAATTGAAAGAGACTTTTCAGAAGATCAAAGAAAAGCTGGGCAGCAAAAAAGGCATCAGTATTCTACCATTAAAAACTGTAGATCATGTTAAGACAGAGAAAAACAAAAGTTAATTAAAATCTGTTCCAAATACAAACACAGGTCATCAATGAGACACAG